TAACTCAATGGAAAATACTATACCATGATCTCAATCTGAACTGACATTGAAGCAGATCCCAATCTTAAAGGTTTAAAGAGTACAGTTACCAGCTTCAAATATTTGCTGCTACAGAACCTAATACTGGACTGATACAAAACAAAAAGTGTTCTCTTAGCAATAACTGTAATAAAAAAGACTGTTATTGTTAAGTGCCATCGAGTTGGTTCTGACTCTTAGAGACTTTGAATAGGGTTTCCGAGGAGCAGCTGGTAGGTTTGAACTGCCAACCTTATAGTTCACAGTCTAGTGCTGATCCTACAGTGCCTCACCAGGAGTCTAACAAAAAAGACTGGAAGATATTTATTGTTTATTCATGACTGTATGAAAACTATGATTCAAAAAATACAATGAAAGAATGCAGTGCTTCTGGATGTTTATCCTGGCAGGTACTTTGACATACATCATGTTTTAATGTCCCCATTTAGAATCTTTAATTAAGATTTTTTTTCTTCTGTTTTAGATTTACAAATCCAGGTCCAACTGACACATCCTAGGCCTAATTTACACTTAAACTGCATGTTTAAAGTTTAAATCCACTTGCTCCTAACCACTTTGAGTGGTACTCAGAATGACTCTAGATCTGGATAACTGAAGGAAATCATGATTTCCTCCAGAAAACTGTATTATGCATACATATAGTATTTTGAAAAAAGGTCTGGATTTCATAGACATTTTATATATCCAAAGTTGCTTTAAGTTAACTTCAAAATGTATTTAAGATAAAGCAGAGTGGATTTAACTAAAAGAAAAGCTCTAGTTACGTGAATAGGAGCTCTAGTTACAAGCTGGGCTGTGAACCCTAAGGTTACCAGTTCAAATCTACCAGTCACACAATGGGAAAAAGAGGATGCTTTCTGCTCCCATAAAGACTTACACAGCCTCAGACGCCCTATACAGAGTCCCTAGAAGTCAGAACCACCTCAGTGGCACAGAACCGTCATCATCCAGTGACATGGACATTTTAGTTTATCAATAAAAGCAATAGTAAAACCCAAAACTTGTAGATAGAAACCAAGCTATATCTTTAAAATGCTTAAAAGTAATATTCTCTATCTTGCAAAAAAACATATAACATCTCATTTTAAATTAATGAGCTACAGAGTGGTTGCAGGTGGAAACTACCAGCTGTTCTGCGGGAGAAAGATGAGGCTTTCTGCTCCCATAAAGATTTACAGCCTCAGAAACCCTGTACTATGAGTCAGAAGCGACTCCACGGTACATAACAACAACATGGCGCTGTGGGTTAATGTGCAAAGCCATTTGAACTGCAACATCGGCAGTTCAAACTCAGCAGCTGCTCTTCTGAAACCCTGTACAGGGTTGCTGTATGTCAGAATCGACTCGACGGCAGTTAACAACAACAATATATTTATTTATCCTAAGGACATTTATTTTTCATTTTAGCTGTCAGGAGGAATATTTAATAACTTAAAACTGGATTACTGTTTGATTCTTCTCTGGGGAAACTATATTATAGAATGAATTAATTCATATCTGATTTTAACTAACTTCTCCATGATATCTTCTTTCTAGCTTCTTTCCTATCTCAAATAAAAATTGCCTTTAAGCCAAAGGCTGGCACAAGCTAAACTTAAAATGGAGTTATATGACCAATGTTTGGAAATTCAGTTTTCATACTCACTGGACTTCTGACATAGCCTTGTGAAGTTAGAATTTTGTTTATGATTAAAATATTTTAAGACTGAACAGTTTAGGGGAAAAATATCATGTGTTTGGCATTTTCTCATGATGAAAATTTTTAATTGATTGTTCTAGACAAGCAGCCAATAATTTTCATATGGTTTATAAGGAGAGGGAGAACTAAAGTTGCTCTTTTGGATTTTTCTGTGACAGCCTACAATAACAGTTAACATATGCCTACATTCACAAGCAAAACAAGAGTCAAGTATGGGGGTTACAATGACTTTTTTGTTGTTGTTAAGCGCCTTTGAGTAGGTTCTGACTCATTGTGACACTGTATAGGGTTTCTGAGGCTTTAAATCTTCACAGGAGCTGAAAGCCTCATCTTTCTCCCTTGTAGCGGCTGATTGTCTTGAACCATGGACCTTGAGCTTGCAGTTCAGTGACTGTGGTATGGAGGAGCCACCACACTCTCAACTAAGGCTGTAGATTAATAAATAAAACTTTTTCTTGCTTATACTTGGTTTTCTTTTACAGGGAAAAAACTGTTTTTAACAAAAATCGGAGACATTAAAAAAAGAGCAGTATCGTGTCAACTATTTTAAAGGAACATTTATCAATAGTGGAAGAAAATAAGAAGTGACTTCAACAGTCACAATTTACATCGATCTTAAATGTGATACATTCCAAAACCAGAAAAAAGGTAAATACAAGTCAATGCTTATATAAATGAACAAAAAACACTCCGTCAATTACTTTATGTTGGTGTTGTTAAGTGCCTTTGAGTCTGTTCATAGCAACTCATAGCAACCCTGTGTAGGGTTTCTGAGGAACTGCCGACCTTGCAGTTCAAACCAATTTTGTGATCAAGTGCTATTCCTACAGTGCGACACTTTATAGCATCTAAACATTGATTCACACTTCCAGTTGATGTTTCATCCAGAAGTGTTTCTAGTTAAAATACCTATATTCTCTGTCAGTAGATAGTTTGTGATCAAGAAATCTTTGGAATTATTAATAACAAAAAGCCATTCTTAAGTTTACAAATTTTCTTTGTTTTCAACTAATATTGGTTTGTATTTCAGTACATACTTATAGTTTCATGAGTTATTATTTTGAATCTACTTCTGGGGTGGCGCTGTATGCTCAGCACTGGACTGCAAACCACAAGGTCAGCAGTTCAACTCAACAGCTGCTCCACGGAAACCCTACACAGTTTGGTAGAAGTCGGAACTGACTCGAAGGCACTTAACAACAACAGTTCCGAGCCCACAGTACAATCAATGTCAGGAACCAAGTGACTGGTTTCTATTCCCCTGGATGAACCATTAGGGCTACTTGTGGCACAGTGGTTATAGTGCTCACTGTTAACAAAAGGTGGGCAGTTCAAGTCCACCAGCTGCACCAGAGGAGAAACACGTGGCAGTCTGCTTCCATAGAGACTGACAGTCTTAAAAATCATACCGGGCAGTTCTACTCTGTTCTATAGGGTTGCTATGCATTGGAGTTAACTTGATGGCAATTCATTGATTTTGGTTGAACCATGTCATAACTTACCCATATGACCTGCCTTAACATCTTATGAATATCTGTCATCTATCGTTATTGCCCATGGTTGCTATGAAATAGTAACAATAATACCTACGTTACCTATTTCATAGAATTATGAGTCTGATATAAAAAATTTTGAAGTATTTAAAATAAGATGATGGTGGATGTACCAGTAGTGATGGTAGCAGTATTGTTGTTGTTGTTAGTTCCAACTCCTAGAGACAGTACGTAGAACAGAACAGGACACCGCCTGGACCTCTGCCATCCTCACCCCATCACTGCTGTGCTTGAGCCCATGGTTGCAACCACTGTGTCTGTCTATCTAGTTAAGGATATCCTTGTTTTCTGTTGACTCTACTTTACCAAGCATGATGTCCTTCTCTAAGAACTGATCCCTCCTGATAATATGTCCAAAGTGTATAAGACAAAGTCTTCCCATCCTCCCTTCTAAGAAGTATTCTGGCTGTATGCCCTCCAAGTCAGATTTGTTTGTTCTTCTGGCAGTCCATGGTATTCTTTGCCAACACCATAATTCAGCAGGAGTGGTAGTGGTAGTATTTAAAAGGAAATTCTGCTCCAAACAATAATCAGTACCATCAGGTTTACCAAACTCAACTGTCTACGTACGCTAATTAAATTAGAATCGGGCTGTGAACCTTAAGGCCAGCAGTTAGAAATTACCAGCTGCTCCATGGGAGAAAGATGAGGCGTTCTGCTCCCATAAAGATTTGCAGCCTCAGAAACCCTGAACAGGGTCGCTATGGGTCTGAACCGACTCTACGACACTTAACAACAACAACAACATTAAAATTATTTGCTATAGCATGGAATTGACTTTACCCCCAATATTTTTGTTTTCTTTTTCCTTTAAACTGGATTGTTATATAGGTTATTGGTGGAGATTATGTGCTGCAGAGTCGGTCCCGATAGTGACCTTGTATAGGGTTTTTGAGGCTGTAACTAACTGTTTGTGGGAGCAGATCTTTCTCCCATGGGACAGCTGGTAGTTTCAAACACCTGACCTTGAGGTCAGCAGCCTGACTCATGACCACCATGCTACCAGATCTCCTTCTGCTAAGCATAAACATGGTGGTTTATTAAAACAGAAATTCTGTATGCTTTTTTAAAACCCTTGATAAGTAAGTAAGATTAGTCGTTAACTACAGCTTTACTTAACTAGAAGTTTAGAATGATCTATAGTTTCCAACTGTATAATCAAATGCAGTATGAAAATTGTTTGGAGAAACCTATTAGATTATTATCTTTAAATTATTTAGAAATAAGTATAATATATTAGAAATGTGTTCACCAATTAAAAACTGATTTAATTCATAAATAGAATGTTGGTATATCTTTGAGACTAGACTCATGTAGGCACTGATGCTGACTACTTTGAGGAAGACGACACTAGATGCTTATGAAGTTTTATCAATATTTGGTTTATGGTCCAGAACTACAAATCTTCAGTTCTCTTAGGTTCCTAACATTTTAGAAAGAATTCACATCACCCTCGCCACTTCTGAATTCATTCAGCCAAGAGGAAGTGAAATTCTAACAGAAATCAAATAATGGCCTGGACTTTCTGGAAGCAAATAGAAGAGGCCAACCTAACATGTGTCCTGCTGTCATCCTTCACTCTGGGCTGTTTATACCCTGGATCCCTTTCAGACCTCATGAAGGTTAATTTTAGTTTTATGGAAAGGACACAGAGAGGCCAACTGCTGTCTTTGCAGAAATTATCTGGGTGAAGCTTATGAGATCCTTACCTTCCTGATTGTCTGGGCATTACCAGAGGGTAGGAAGCACTGTTTGTCTGGGGAGAATCCTTTCTTGCATCTGCTTGCCTGGGTTTCCGTGGGTGTGTTTGGGGCAGCTGTGAGCTTCCTTGTCCCTCTGAGCGTCAGGGTCTGGTAGAAGAGGCAGATCGCTACCACCAAGCCCACCAAGAAGGGCCGGGGGCAAAATCGCCGGCGACAAAGGTACCCTAGGCGACAGACCATGACCAATTCAGCTTCACTTGGACCCTGTCCACGTTGCAGGAAAAATCATAGCCGCTCTTGTCTGCCAGCATGAAAAAATACAAGTCTGTCTTCTTCCACAACTTCAATCAAGTTTGCTCCATTCCCACTGAAGAACTTTCCAAAAGTTCAGGCCAAAGAATCATAGGTCCCCAGAGTCTGAGGTGGTTAACAAGAGCCGATCCATGTATGACAGTGAATGAGGAGATATAAAAAAAGACATCAAAATAAGAATAGTTGCAACTAAACCCCTAGTGTGCAGTCGGCTGCCAAACTGTGGCTTCCGGTAATGCCTTCTCTCCACAACACCTAAAACTCAGAGCGAGCGAAGGAGTCCTGCTCGCAGCTGCAGTCTTAGAGGGAAAAAAAACCCAGCACCAAACAAAGTAAGTCTGAAGTCTGAAAACCGCGTGAAGGACGCAATCGGTTAAAGCCCAAGTGCCTGGAGGCGGGCCAGGTGGCCTCAGCAGTTCCTCTCTTTTCCTCTGGATTTTCAAGCTCTGCTGTTCTGGCCCTTTAAGTTTTCTGCTTCTTGTCATTCCGCTATAAATTGCTACTTGCCTGTAAGGATTCACGGCTTTTAACATTAAAAAGGGTACGGCCCTCGGTCTGAATGGGTTTGATTACCGTTAGCATTCTGTTTATATTTGTTTTATTCCACTTCAAGTTCAAAGTTCTATGTACTTACTCAGTTTTCATTCTTTCAAGCCAGACAAAAGTTTCCATGATCCTCTAATGGATCGCAAATCAAAACCACACGGAAGGAAACACCCAGTGGTCTGAGTCCATTTCATGATGCGCACACATACAGACGGACACATACACACACACACAGCCCTCACAGGGAACAGGAGACCTGGCTTCGCAGCGCAGCCGCTCTGGCCCGGCCCGCGGGGCGGAGCTTAGGCTCAGGGCTCCTGGACCCTCGGGGGCATCAAGAGCGCAATCTGCTTTGGGTCCTGAATGGTGGGTTTCCGCAAATTGGAAACAGCAGTCTATTTCCCCTGCAATGTGGCTGCCTACACAGAGCTACTGACTTTTAAATACATGGTTGCTCTTTGATCTCCCGAGCTACTTTTTTTTCCCCTCTGGTAAAGCGCTGGACTGCAACATTGGTTTGAGCCGCAAGGTCGGTGGTTCAAACTCATCAGCGGCTTTTTGGAAACTCTATACACGTTCATTGTAAGTCGGAACTTACAACAATACATTCCTGGTGTGGAGCTGAGGATTAGTGTTGGACTGCAAGGTCGATTTGAACCATAAAATCGGAGGTTCGAGTTCGCCAGCTGCTCCTCGGGAACCTTCTACAGGGTCACTAGGAGTCAGAACTGATTCCACTGCACGTAACAACAATACAGCGTTAGAAACACAAATAGCCTTTGGTCAATTGATGGCATATGTGGAGGGTGACACTGAAGTGGACTCCAAGAGCGAACTGGAAAGCACTTCTCCTAAGGAAAGTGTTGTTACTCTTCCGGGGCTAAGAGGAACACTAGTGTTACCTGGACTCCTGGAGTGGCCCTGTAGGATCAGCACTGAACTGCCGATCACAAGGTCAGCAGTTCAAACCCACCAGCTACTCATCGATGGCACTTAACACAAAAGTACTGTTTGGCCCTCAGAATATGAAAGCCTCTTGTAAGCAGGGGGATGAATTCAGTGCAGTCTCTGCTTTGGTACGAACTTCTGTCCTCTTGTTCATCATCATCGTCATCATTATTGTTATTGTAAGGCTAAGCACTCAGATACCAACCAAATGGCACTTCCAGCCCTTCCTCCAGGCAAAGACCTGAAGATCTGCATTGTAAAGACTACAATTTAGGAGCTCCAATGTGGCAGCTATGGGTCAGGATCGACTCCACGGCACTTAACAACAACATGGGGCAGTTCTGGCTCTGGTAACATAGTGGTTACCAATCTGGCTGCTAACCTCAAGGTTGGCAGTTTGAAACTACCAGCTGTTCTGTGGGAGAAAGATGAGGCTTTCTGCTCCCGTAAAGATTTATAGCCTCGGAAACCCTGTACAGGGTCGCTGTGAGTCGGAACCGACTCCATGGCACATAACAACAACAACATAGGGCAGTTCAAGGAACTCTGATAGCGTAATGGTTACAAGTCGGGCTGCTAATCTCGCGCTCAGCAGTTCGAAACTACCAGCTGCTCTGTGGGAGAAAGATGAGGCTTTCTGCTCCCGTAAAGATTTACAACCTCGGAAGCCCTATATAGGGTCGCCATACGTCGGAACCCACTCCACAGCACATAATCATAATCACCACCATGGGGCAGTTCAGCTCTGTCATACGTTTTGGGTCGGAATCGATAGGGTGCGTCTAACTACAGCCCTATCTATAGATTTATTTTAAGGCATAGCGTAGAGGTTGTTGTTGCTAAGTGCTGTTGAGTCGGTTCTGACTTATAGGGACCTTATATAAGATTTCCAAGGAGCAGTTAGTGGGTTTGAACTGCCAACCTTGTAGTTCGCAGTCCAATGCTGTTCCTAGCGAGCCACACCAGAAGCATCACATGGAAATTTACTACCACTATGTTTTCAATAGCCTCATATGGATGCGAAAGCTGGACAGTGAATAAGGAGGATCATAGAAGAATTGATGCCTTTGAGTTGTGGTGTTGGAGGAGAATACTGAAAGTGCCATGGACTGCCAAAAGAACCAATAGATCTGTTTTGGAAGAAGTGCAGCCAGAGTGCTCCTTGGAGGCCAGGATGGCTAAGCTTCGTCTCTCCTACTTTGGACATATTGTCCGGAGGAAACAATTGTTGGAGAAGGATGTCATGCTGGATAGGGTGGAGGGTCAGAGAAAAAGAGGAAGACCCCCAACGAGATGGATCAGCCAGGTGGCATCATTGATGGACTTAAGTGTGGCAGCGGTAGTGAGGTTGGCCCAGGATCGGACATTGTTTCGTTCTGCTGTGCATGGGGTCTCTATGAGTCGGTTCCGACTCGATGGCACCTGACAACAACAACAATGTTCCTGAAGTAGTGATTGGGTTTTGAAAGGCTAATTAAATAACTCCTCACTCTTTAAAAATGATGGAATCCTGGTGGCATGACGCTAACCAAAATGGTGGTTGGTTGGAACCTACACAGGAACTCCCGGGCAGAAAGATGTGGCAATCTGCTCCAGTAAAGATTTGGTGGTGGTGTGCCACAGAGTCAGTTTCAACTCATAGCGTCCTGCATAGGTTTTCCAAGTATGTAAATCTTGACTCAAGCAGAAAGCCTAAATTTCTTCCGCAGAGTGGCAGGTAGGTTCGTACTGCTGGCCTTGCACTTAGCAGCTCAACGTGTACCCACTACACCACTAGGACTCCTCTGGGATGGTTCTACTCCTATAGGTTAACTGTGAGTCGAAATTGACTCGACAACATCTTTTTCACTCCTAAAATGAACTAATTGTTGCAGACTTTGGATAGTTTTTGCCCAGCAGAAAGGGGTACCAAAAGGCTTTGTCCAGAATTCAGTCTAGTTCTATACAGACTTCTACAAGGATCGGACTAGTGCAATTCTGCAAACTCCATCCACTTTTCTAAATCAGCTCAAGAAACTCTGAGTAAGGTCATCTGTCTAAACAGAGCATACTGGTCCTTCTCCTAGCCCCTACTTTGTGAACTCTGAATTTCCACGGCAGTTTCTGTTTCAGAGCAGGAATTCTTCAAAGATGTGTAGTCAAACAGGTTTTTGTTTCTAACCCCAACTCCTAGTGGTTCAGAACTTCAGTGAGGCCACACTCCTAGAATGAGCCCATCCGGTAGGCCCGCTGCTGCCAAGTCACTTAAATTTTGTGAGGAGGTGCGCCCCCTAGGGGTGCCTAGCTATTACAGACTCAGGGACATGGGCATCTAGAATATACCAATACTATTACTGTTTCTTATTTAAAAATCAAACGAAACTATTTTAACTTCTATAAAAGGACTTGGGGCTCTATTGTCAATAAGGCTGAAAAAGAGACTTTAAGGATAGGTTTATGCATGGTTAAATTGTTGAGTACAGAGAACAAAAGAAAGAGTAAACCAGAGACTAGAATCAAGTTACTATTGGGCTTGGAGAATGGAAAGACAACAGCATTGATCATTTTAAGAAGTTGCTATAATTAGACTTCAAATAACAGAAACCAGTATGATAGAAAATTTGCTTTCTAGAAATAATGCGGGTAGCTTGAAGAATCCATACTCCCTATCTTAATGGCTGAGCCCAAAGAAATGAAGGAGTCCTGGTGTGGCGCTGTGGGCTAATGCGCCAGACTGCAAAGTCCTTTGAACTGCAAGGTCAGCGATTCAAGCTCACCACTTGCTTGCTCGTTGGAAACCCTATACAGGGTTGCTGTGGCTCGAAATCGACTTGAGGGACTTAACAACAAAAGAAGTGGAAGAGAAGATAGCAGATATAATGCCATCTACAGAACCGAATTAGAGTAAGAAGGTGAAAAGAAGAGAGCAGGGATTATCACCAAGTAGACAAAGAAGGCCCATATTGTTGTTGTTCTGACCCATAGCGTCCCTGTATAGGGTTTCTGATGAGCAGCTGGTGAACTTGAACCATGGACCTTGCAGGTTGGCGCATTAGGTCCTTAGACATCATCTTTTAGAATCAGTCCATTCTCAATATGGATCATGGCATTGCCTCTTATGAGCTTGTTCTGAACCAAGTGATTTCATTCCTTTAAATCTCAATTTAATTCCTTTAAATCATAAACCTTCATTTGTGAAATGAAGATACGGATGCGTGCATTGAAGTGCTGTTGACATCCTAGATGGGAAGATGTACACAAAGCACGTAGGCATTCTGGGGACATTTGCTGGGCAAAGGGCTAATGACTTCATGCCTATGATGTTTTGGATCCTGAAGTTGAACTCAATCCTAACTGAGCTGATGGTTAGGCGTGGCATCAGACACAGAACAGAGAGTCATTAAATAATGGACCTCAAGGAACAAACACCACCAACAAAAAGGAGTACACAATGT